CCCCCCCCCCCCCCCCCCTAACAAAAAAAAATAGTCATTGAGCTATCTTTTAGTAGTAATGGTGTTGTTGCTGGTTTTTTTAGATGATTTAAAAAAACAAACTATTTTTACATTTATAATAAATCTTCTATGATTCTATCCTAGTTTTTTAAGATGATTAAAAAAAAAAATTATTTTTACAAATGGAGTTTAGCATTTTTTCCCACATTTTAGTGAAACATGAATTTTCAGATATCAATTTTTCCTGCCACTTATGTGAAACTTTTCTGTTCATAACTGACAATTCATTCCTGACAAATTCATCATTTAAAACTTTCAATTTGGGTACTTAATCAGCTTGGTTAATTGACAACCATGCTGGCATTTGACCTAAACGCAAGTTGATTTGACAGGAAGAAAGTAAATCTAAATAGCAGGACTTCAAAGGCTGTATGCATCATGATAAATATCTGTGGTTTATAGTAATTGGTTATTCAAATGCTAAGTGATGCTTGCTTGTTAGGTTGGGAATATGCCTTTAGGACCTGACTTCGGGAATCAAGGTGGAAATGCTATGCAAATAGACAGAGGGTCTTCTTGGATTGGTCCCTCAGAAAACCTAGCACATCTTTCCGGTCCTCCTGGTCAGATGGGTGCTGCTCTTCGGCCTCCTGCGGTAATTATTTTGAATTATATTTAGTTTGTTTGTTGTATAAAATCTAAATAATTCTGCAGTCACTCTATTGATATTCTTTTCTTGCAGTTGACACCAGAGATGGAGAAGGCGCTGCTTCAGCAAGTGATGAGCCTCACACCGGAGCAGATAAATCTGCTTCCTCCAGAACAAAGAAATCAAGTGCTGCAGCTACAGCAGATGTTGCGTCAATGATGCAATCCATCAAAGTTAGTTCTTCCAGTTTGGCAGAGATTACTGTGACGTATATAATATTCAAACTAATTGGCTGCCAAGTTTTGTAGAATTGATGTAACAAAATATAGACCATATTATTCTTTTCATCTGGAGTTTGGCTCCAATTAAATGTCAGCCTTTAGTTGGTGGAGCTATTTGCAAAAGTTTGTACCATCTTCCATATTCCATATTTTATTGTTAATTTCACTTCCACAATTTTACAAGTTATCCATCTATCTATCTATATTTCATAATATAAAATGGCTTTCCTTAACCAGCTTTCTTGCATGATTTTACCCCCCACATATTTACATAATTTTTTCTTATTTTATTTTTACCCATTCGAGTTTTTTTTCTTCTTGTCCATTTTCTTACATATTTTTCTTGTATATTTGAATTAGTTTTGCAATGGATAAACAATTAAAAGTAGAAAACTATTAGAAATTTGCGGCATTATGTTTTCAAGACATTTTCATTGTAATTTCTAATAAAATTTTATTGATCGGTTCTTTTTGATTTTACACCAATGTCTTAAGATTTTTTTTATATTAATTTGATTTGACTAGAAGATAAGTAAAGTTTAAATAATGATTGTTTTTGTTAAGGATTGAATTTGAAGGTTATTTGAATAATTTGACTTTGGTCAACACATTATCTATGTGTTTAACTCCTTAATTATCATTTGTTTTTTAACAATTATTCTAAATAATGATTCAATTGATTATTTTTATAATCTTAAATTGTATGTATTATGATAAATGAATCTCATTTTGTATAATCAAAGTAAATCCCTAAGTCCTAATTTTTTCTGAGGTATGAATGTTATCTTTATTTAAATTATAATTACAAAGCTATAAATGTGTATAGTAAAATACAATTTTTTAAAACATAAAGTTTACCTACGATTAGTGAAAAGTATATTAATTATTTTTATTTATAAAATAAAAACTATTGAGGAACTTATTAAAATATATATGTCGGTCATAATTGATATACAGATAAATTTATATGTTTAAAAGTATTTATTTATTATAAAGTTAAATTGTATTAAAATAGAAGCTAAAACTGTAGTAGAAAAGCAACAACAATTTCATCTGGAGGAACTTATTCCGAGTAGCTTTTTATGGATAGTCTGGGTTCGTTTTATTGGCCCTTAGGTCCATTCATGAATGAAAATTAAGACAAATAGGAAAGAATTTTATTTTATTTTTATGAAAAAACACATGAGTTTAAACGGGGGAATTAATTTTGATGCGTATGAAGAGACATTCCAGGGTGGGAAATGTTATCCAGAGCCTCTCCTTAGCTTTCAAGATATTGTTATTCAGAGTGGGAAATTCCACCCAATGCGTTGCAAAATTTGAAAAGAAAAAAAAAATAACTTGGACCTTTTTAATTACATTAAAGAATTTTCCAACTGATAGTGGGGATTAATTTCTTTGAAGGCCTAAAATCACTAAAATTAAATTTTATCTCACCCAACAAAATCTTTTTATATAAATGATTAAGAATAGAAACCACAACGACATGTTTAAGGAAACTATTTACCATGGAACATTATTGGTAAAAAAAATTTGGCATTTGAAACAAGGAAGCGTCAACAGTCAGTGACTTTTCATAGATAGTTACCCTTTGTTCGTTTTGTTGGCCTTTAAGTCCATTCATGAATCAATTTTTTTCTGAAAAAATAAAAGGAAATATAATTTGATGAAAAACACATAATTTTAAACGGAAATAAAATTTTGATGCGCATGAAGAGACATTAGACGAGGGATGAAAACGTGGCCTCTCACCTTTAAATACTTGTGTTCTTTGTTCAGCACTCATGCTGAGTAGAAGAGGGAAAAGAAACTAAGATGATGAGTGAAAAAAACATGGAAGAAGAGAGGGACATATTGAGTGACATGCCTGAATACGTGTTGCTCCATATAATGAAATTCATGCACACAAAAGACGTAGTTCGAACTTGCGTCTTGTCTAAAAGATGGAACAACCTTTGGAAACGGACCACTACTCTCTCTTTCATGCGCAAGCACTTCACATGTAACGACAATTATAATGAATTTGTGTCTCGTGTTCTGTCTGGTCGTGATGCTTCCATTTCCCTATTTGATCTTCATTTCGGGGCCCACGGTTCAGATCCAACACTCCTAAACAAGGTCATCCAATATGCTGTGTTGCACAACGTTGAGCACATGACAATCACCACAAGTTTCGATTTCACAATCATACCCAACTCTTTTTTCCCTCTCATTTTTTCTAGCCACTCTTTGACATTTCTCAAGCTTTCTTCTGGCCCCACTTTAGAACTTCCAAAATCTCTGGTGTTACCAACATTAAAATGCTTGCATCTCACGAATGTGAGTTTTACCTCATTTGAAAATGAGTGTGCTGAGCCCTTTTCATGTTGTGACATGTTGAATGCTTTGGTCCTTCAAGATTACTCGTTGCGCAATGATGCAAAAGTCCTCTCCATATCTAACTCTAAGCTTTCATGTTTGAAAGTGGACAACACCCCTCGTCGTGTCAAAGGGTACACTATTCCTCACAAAATTGTGCTTTCTACTCCAAATCTTACTTCCATCACAATCGTCATTTTCACTCGTCTTCAAGTTTCCTCAGCATGTAATCTTTCATTTCTTGAAGAAGTAAATATTGACACCCATGTAGATTGTTCAGTCATCATGAACTGGCTGCAAGTGCTCTCTAATGTAAAGAAATTGACACTCTCTACTCGTACCCTTGCTAGAATGCACGAGGTAAAGTTACTTTGCCATAAGATGTCTGCATTATTTTGCCAAATTAACATATATCATCAATTCATTCTCATTTTGTAGGATCTATCAAGTCAAATGAAAATTCAACCTCCGTGGTTTGTTAGATTGGAGTCGTTCAAAATAAAAAATGATCCATCCAGCAAGATATCGAATGAACAAGTACACAGGATGGAAAAAAGGGTAGCTGAGTACTTACTTCAGAACTCTCCAATAAGCATAGTTCCTATCCTAAGAAACTTGCTTCCCTATTCCATGCATGACTATTTAGGTAAATATTTTATTCAGTGACTTGTTATAGATGTTTTTTTATCGGGCTTCAACATAGGAGACTTTTAAATGTAAGAAACTCTTAAGACATGCAATGGGCAGCAGAAACAAAACATAAAAACCATACAAAATTATAAAACAGAGAAGAGGAAAGGTTAGGGAACAAAATTATTTCGTATTTGCTGGATAACCATACCATTCTTTATGTTTTTCATTCATATATAAGGCAAAAACATAAAAAATGATAGTCATACATAGAGCTCCACTAATACAAACAACCATGATTAATTATAGAGGTAGAAAATAAAACTATCACTGTGAAGAACAACGTATTAAATTATTAATATCAAGAAATACGCTCTTGAGTGATGTAGAAACAACGCAGTGACAGAGAAAATAGGATCAAATAATAACATAATTAAGTGTAACAGCCTGGGAGGTATTATAGGGTCTTGGCCTCTTAGGTATTATGAGGTGCTTAAGTCTCACATGGAGTAGTATAGGGACACAACACTAACATATGGGTCAGAGAATAGGGTATACACTTGTTTTTCTAATCCAAGAGAGGGTAAATGAATATAACGTTAGAAGGGAACAAATCCAAAACAGAGATGAAATTCAACAATAACGAAGGAAATAAAAACATATCCATCAAATGGAAAGCTGGAAAAAATAGTTAATAAATAAAGAATATGGACATGAATTTGGAAACGGGGTTTCTGGAATAAGAGTCCCGAGACTAGTGGTAAATTCCTAATCATTTCTCTACTAAGTAAAATTGATTTTATACTTCTGAACAAAGTACGATGTTTTTTAATATATAATATTTTTCTCACGTGTTCTGCTTCTTTAAATGTGGCCAGGAGATACAATACAAGTTTATATGCATGTGTGGCGCATTGAGGAAGGGGCATAGGTGTCTCATAATTGTTGTACATGATTGATTTTCCTAAACATAAATTCAAAAATTATTCTTAATTCCTTATGGTTTTGAACGTTGTGTAGAATAATCATTTTGAAAAATTTTACGCTCGAGAGAGGTTTTAGGAGTTTTCGTAATTTTTGTTAGTTTTACTTAATTTTATTTAGTTAATTTCAATTTATAAGAGTTTTTTTTTCAGGAGGAGCCAGTTCTAGAGAATATCCCACACTTGGTCGCTTAAACAAGTTCGAAATTGGGACTTTTGAAAAACGCTCTAGCAGTATATATTCAAGCTTGAGAAAGACTGACGAGGCTTATGAAGAATACTTAAGCAAGATGCTTTCACATTTAAACGAGACCACAAAAGACACTTTTTGAAGAAAGTTCAAGCGAAAGAGAGGAGGCTTATGAAGAATACTTAAGCAAGATGCTTTCACATTTAAACAAGACCACATAAGACACTTTTGAAGAAAGTTCAAGCGAGATATTGATTTGAGACGTAAAATTTGCATGGAATTAGAACTCGTGGATCAGGTCACGATATATGTTGGGTCACATATCCAATGATATATGGCTATCCTTTCCCTTTTCATAATAATAAAATGAAATGTTTATTTATCCTTTCCTATGATTGTAACATTTTGACTCTGCTCATCGGCTAGTCTTGTTCTTGGCCTACGGACCTTCCCTTCAACATCTGTCGGATTGTTTTGTGTTTTTTTTTTTGTGGAGAGATAGTATGATATAATTTTATTGATGAGCTAGCTCTCTATATATAGAATAAAATTGTAATACAAAATTTAAATATAAAATATTCTAATCTTAAAATCAAACTGATAATATTATAAAATATAATGATAAGAATATTTTTATCTTTATCCAAACAATATCTTGAAAATTCAAAACATAAAAAATTTCCTAAAACCTGAATTATTAGACACATAAATTAAACATCATAATAATAATATCTTATATTAGTTCATGAAGGAAAATTATCATTAAGTTTCTAATATATATGTATTTTTTGTTTGTTATATTAATCCACGATGTCATTTAACGAAACTATTAATACCGAGTCTAATGCATGTTTCATATATTTCCACGGTAATTTTTATAAGCATTATTATATCTTTCGGATTTAACCATTTACACTGATCAGCAAATTAATATGTTCCTGAAGAAATGATAGCAAAATTAGGTCTACGTGTTGTAAGACAGCTATTAGCCTTTGGTGGTATATGTAATGTATGTTTGGATATACATTTTATATGTGTCGAGTTACAAATCACATGGAACTAAGAGAAAATACACAGATCGATATTACATTTAATAAGATGAACCTGAATAATTTACAAAAATATAATAAGCTCATTTGGACCCCTGGTTATATATTGGGGGAGGAAGAAAACTAACATCAGAAAGGTATTGTAGGCATATCTCAAATTCCAGAACTTTTAACAAATAAGACTCCTGAGTTTCAACTCCTATGTGCAAGCAGAAGATCCGTTCAAACTGCTATCAGTAAACTTGCCTCTTGATAACCCCAGATGTAGGGAA